GAATAAGTTATGTTAAATTATGTTTACCTTCACTAAACTTCAAGCACCCCAAGTATAAAATTCCAGGCAGTTACCACTATGCAATTATAACATTTTCTCATTAATTATGCAAATTAAGTCTTAATTTGCATAATCGATATCTGCCTGTGTTTCTCTCGTTGTTAATAACATATGTCACAAGCTTGAACTTCCTATCATGGAATTCAGTTGATTAATAGAATTTCCTCATTAATTATGCAAATTACATCCATATTTGCATAATTGTAATATCATTATGTCAAGCATTACTCAAGCTACCTACATACCAAAAATCATGATGATCCATCAAGCGGTTCTTGAGTTATCCTCCTTTAAACATTAGGCTTAAACCCCCCTGCAGTTCTAGAGCAAGCAACTAAACTAGCAACTCACGTCACTTCTTCCCCAGCACAAGACCTACCTGCCATCAAAATTTCGTCACCCTAGCATGTCTGGATCATGAGATATCAAAACCGGAAGTTCAGCTGCAGTACCATGACAAGCCGCCAGGGGGCCCAAAATCTAATCAGTTCGAGCTCTCATCAAGACCTACCCATCTACCAAATATCAAGATAATCCATCTAAGCTTTCTCGAGTTATGCTGTTGACAGGCAGACACACACACACACACACGGCCAGGAAAACATAACCTTCTCCAATTCTTGGCGTAATAATCTACAGATACAGGTAATAATCTCACAAAGTGAGTCATACCACATGTCGATGTCCTGTTGTGACTTATTCACTTTTTGCATACGGTCAATGAGATTAACCAACGCTCTACGGCTTATATCAGAACGCAGAAAGTCATCTGTCGTCTTTCTACGTTTACAGCGAGCCTTAGCACTGGCCTGTGGTACAGATTGTAGGGCCTCTTCAGTCTAAATGTCTCTTCAGTCCTACAAATAACAGGGAGTGATCAGGTAATCTATAGCGGTCACCTATCAGGCTCATACAGGAAGTACCACATGCCTCAGCCAGGTGAGTTCATATTCAAACTAGACTTCGGAGGTCTCATGCCTTCGACAGTGTGATATTGTTTTGGTGGGTGTTGTGTGTATGTATAGTGTAGGCTTTTTGGAAATGATTATCGTAGTTATAGTGGTCAAAGAGTATTTTTGTGAACGAAGCAACATACCATTTACCTAGCCTGTACCATGTCTTTCTACGGAAATACGGAATGTAGAATTCGTCATTTGGTACAGGGGTGCCTTGAGCATATGCTCAAAGAATGACATTTTGCATACTTTGGCATACATCACTTGAAAATTGTGTGAAACAGGTCTTTTCTGCTATTTTCAGACAAAAAAATGTACATTTGCAACACTACCTTGAATTTGTGTAAAATAAGGTTTTTTTCTGCTCTTTCTAGGCAAAATGCATTTATGTCCTTGTATTAAAACCGAACGACCTGAAATTTGTTATAGATGTGTCTTAGGCAAATGCCAAATGAACTTAAGACATAGTTTGGCATACACCACTATAAAATTATGTAAAATGGGTCTTTTTGCTATGCCCAAAGAACAGAGCTAACAATGCTGTAAGGTAGCAGCACACAGCATTAATGGGCGACTGTGACTATTGAAAGTAGTACAGAGAATATGTTAATGAAGGTTGGGTAAAAGGCCTGATAAGAGCGCCAGCCAGACGTAAATTGCGCTGTATGGTGTACGCATGTATCGGGTTTGAGACTGTATAATTTGAATTGTGAAGGTTTTGCAGTTCGTGTATAAATGCGCCGTATTACGCAACTGGCTTTCCGGGTGAGTCGGCTGCAGTTCAGGTCACGTCCGTAGAGGGCGATTTAAAAGTGTATGTTACGAGCAGATACGCCGACAGGATTTTTTGGTTTCTAGATACTTTGTAGTTTGTGCCTTCTTCTCAAACATATTCGATTTTCGTATTTGTGAAGTGCACCCTACTGTAATTTTTACCGCGTCGAAGTGAGTCATCTTGGGGTCCTTAACTATAGAAATCCATATAGGGCGAAAACTGTGTTCTGGTACCGTAAGGGGAGGGACCAGCAAATCGCCATGCGCAGAACTAGCAGTGTGTACACCGATTTATTTTGGTACTTCTTTTTTAAAAAAAATTTTTCCTGGGCAAATTTTGCTCCGAAAGGCCCAGTTTTCTGGTAAGAAGGACAAAAGAATGTACATTTTTAAGGTATGGCCAAAAAGTGTGACATTTTTCATGGTTTGACCTTTTATTGACCTCTAAATACTTGTGATCTCCATGCCGGTATCCAGTAGCGCATGGCTTGGGGGTTCCAGGTCCCCAGATGAGTTTTTAATAGCCTATCGTCTGTCAACAGCATAACTTGAGAAATCTTAGATGGATGGTAGGTGGCAGGTCTTAATGAGACCTGGAAATGATAAGATTTTTGACCCCCTAGCGGCTTGTTATAATACTGCAGCTGAACTTCCGGTTTTTAAATCTCATGATCTACACATGCTGGGGTGACGAAATTTAAATGGTAGGTAGCTCTTTTGCTGGGGAAGAAGTGGCGTGAGTTTGGGCCCCCTAGCGGCTTGCTCAGAAACTGCAGGGCTAACTGTTTGAAAATATTTAAAAGAGGATAACTCAAGAAACGGTGGAAGGATCGTCGTGCTTTTTGGTATGTAGTTAGCTTACGTGATGCTTGGTATAATTATGCGGCAATTATGCAAATCTGGATGTAATTTGCATAATTAATGGAGAAATTCTATTAATTCTATATCAGCTGCATTACATTATAGGACTATTTACAGATATTGATTATGTAAATTAACACTTAATTTGCATAACTAATGAGAAAATGTAATAATTCCATAATGCTAACTGCCTGGAATTTTATACTTTGGGTTGCTGGTGTCTTTTCCAAATTTAAAGTGACCAGTGTTACTACAGTAACGTACGGACCTCCCACGACGCCAATTTCCGACTTGATCTTCCTATCGTCAACGGTAACTTGCTCAGCAAAAATCGTGAACATCCATTTGCAGATTTACGAATTATCCCGCTAACAACAATAACGACCACCACAAAAGGTCAAATTCAATGACATGGGAACCCCCCCACGAGGCCCATATCCGAACTTGACCTCCGTATTCTCAACGGCGACTTGCCCACTGAAAATCATAGACAACCACTTAAGGATTCCCGAGTTATCTGACGAACAACAAAAAACTCAAACACAAAAGGTCAGCTCCAGTCACGTAAGAACCCCCCCCCCCCACGAAGCCTATTTCTGGCCATCACAATGCCCACCACTAAGACAACCTGCCTGCCAAAAGCCATGAACCACCTAAGGGCTCATTCTTGTCATCCATTTAGATTTAAAAGCATAATAATAATAATAACAAGGGTAAATAAACAAGAATTAAAAAATAACAGTTACTAAACTTATTTCTCTCAACAAAATTCAAGTGCGATATAATAAACATAAAGAACGAATGGAATACATGTATTGGAACAATGAGATTTTCCAAAATAGGTAATTCAGGAAGATAAAAGAGTAGGTGTTCAGTATACTTTTGGAGACTAGGGTGGTTTATGGTATATGTTATCAGCGTACACTTAAACAATAGAAATTACGGTATTATTTGAAAACTGTTCCATATTATGACACATTTGTATTTTACTGAGGATTATGCTAATGAAGTGCAAAAAGAGGAATATGGAGTTGATTTTTTGCCTGGTACAATAGCTATGTACGAGTGAATTGGGGTTTAGTTATTAACTTTGATGTCGGATAGCGCCTGAACGGCTTGCGCTAGTACCGTCAAATTTGGTGATTGGTTGGTTAATTGATTAGTTGATTGATTAATTGATTAATTGGTAGGTAGGAATAGCCTTGCTTACCTTATAAGACAGGTCAGATCTGGGCTGCAGTAAGACAGGCCCGGTGAATAAAGGCCCGGGCTCTGTGGAAGCTTGGCGTAATCTGGTCTTGTGATGGTAGGTCTGATCGATGTTGACGTGGCCGGATATAGATTGCCTCGTGGATAATCGAGTGACGTGAGTTTACGTCCGGGACAACAACAGGTGTCCATAAGAAGCAATTCGTGAAGTTTTACATGTTTTAATTACATGTACATGTGCATAAGCTCAACAACACGACAATCTAAACAGTCATCTTTGATAAAAATATATGTCATTTGCCGCATATTATTTATTTGACAAGGTATCGTGGAAGGTGCAAACCATAAACACAATCCCAACAGACGCAAACGATTATACACAAAAAACACCTAATACGTGCTTCCAGAACCTTTCTACTTAATGGGGGGGTTTCTGAAATATGCATTTGCTTCAATATAAAAAACTTTTACGGTTAAAAGAAAAAAAAATCACGCACATCATGGTTCACCACATGCCCAATTATATAGAAATACAACGGCGAGAACTATGACTTTGAGCTGCGAACACATTTCAAAAACAGCCCCATACGTTAAGAACAGACGACCCGCAACTGGTTCTAATTACCGACCCAACCCAACGTCTGTCTGGAGGAAACCAGCCCGCCCCGCTATTCAAAGCGATAGGTCATTCCAATTTGCCTCATAAATGTAGGGGTGCATCTAAAATATAACATTGACCTCGAAAACAGCTACGGTTAAAAAAAAACACGTGCATCATCACGGGCATGCCTGCAAACGATGTATAAAATTACATGCCGATTAAACAAAGGGAACCTTGTGTTTAAGCTGCAAACACGAAAAATCGTCTGACCACTTTACTCCTGCAGGAGGTAAACCTCCGTCACGGAGTAATAACCAACAAGTAGTTTAAATTTGGCTATATACAAACATTAAGTAACCTTGTTAAGTGTCCCAGTGGGGTGGGGAGACTTAGACAGACATCAAGCTCCACTTCGTTGACACACATCCATCTGAGGCGATTAATTCGTAAAGCCAGTAGGAAAAATACAAGCCAAGACTAGAACGGCCGACATTTGCTCATTTGCAACCAAATGCAGCATGGCTTCACCACATCTGCCGTACCAAATATGGACGGCATATGTGGTACAGAGCCGCACACAATTTCAAACAAGCAGCGCCACCCCTATGTTAGGCTTGTTTATTCCGCGCATGCGCGACGTCTCCATGTGAGTCTGTCCGCCATCTTGTTCTGTTGGTTGAAACCTTTGCATTAAAGGTCGTGCTCGGTTATGCACTTGAATTGCCGTCTTGAGTCGTCCGCTTAGGGTCAACGTTTGCGTGGTAGCAGCGGTTGGATCCAGACTCTACGCCCTAAAAGCGAGACAACGCACCAAAAACGGCCGGGATGGCAACCGCAAACCGAGCTCCAAAACAGTGGCCTCTCACCAAAACGGAGACCATAACTACATTCGAAAACTGGCGGTCAAACCTTTTGTATGTCTTATCCCTTGACCACAACTTCTCCCCGTTCCTTGCCAATGGATTCACGTGACGAAAGAAGACGGCGGGAGTGGAAAACCGAGGCCTCGCCGCCGATGGAGAAGCAGTTCCGGAGGCTAATCGTCGCACGGCTCCGCAGAAGGCTGCGTCCCTGGAACTGATGCTGGGACAAATCGCAAATTTCTGTCCGGTGGTATCAAGAAACAGGATTGTGAAGGCAAGTACGTCCCTTGATGACATTTGGCAGACCATCCGATTACACTTCGGCTTTCAATCCTCACCTCACCTCACCGGTCCCATAGCAGACTGTCCTGAAACGTCTGACGTTTTCAAAATCATATCCAGTTGCTTGAGTAACTGCTTTTTGGCGTAGTGTACAGCTAACTTTAAAACATTACGCTTGTTTGAACACGCAGGCGCGCAAAGTAAGGCTAGGTGTCTGAGCGTTAGGGTTAGGGTTACCGCTACCGAAAATAACCGATTTCTCTGTTTCATCTGATAATAAAGAGTTAACAAAGTCTATCATGTGAATGTTATACTTTCTGGATAAAAAAAATACTGTGTACAGCTCACTTTAACCCTAAACAGTACACCTGGGGTCCGCGCGGACCCCAGCACTATATATTCTGTAATATCTTTTTTGTTTCTAAAGATTTTTTTCAGAAATTTTAGGTAATTGTCACCCACAAAGTTGTCTCTCAATACAGTGCAGAAAACTCCGTTCCTACCATCTATAAAAAAATTATATCTGATTTTCTTTTGGGGTCCGCGCGGACCCCAGCCGGCTTTCGATCATAATGGATACACTGGCGTTCTTATACATTACCTTATCTCCGTTTATATATGTTTTTATGCACTCATCGTATGTCTACCAAGTTTTCAGAGAATGGTGTAGTAATAGAATTTAATTTTATTAACTTTGGTGTAATTATGACGTCATATGACGTCAGAGCTAATAATATAGTCCGCCATATTGGATTTTGGCCAATGACGTCATCAAATTAGCATATTCTATGCATATTAAATGATTTAACTTATATTTGATTATGTAAGATGTTATTAATGTTGGAAAAGAAGTGTAATTTAATATAAAACTGAGAAAATTTTTATGTTTAAACCAAAATTACTACTATTTTCAAAATAACTGCCTGCTAGAAACCCGTTGCCATGGCAACACAAAAAAACATCAACTTACTAGTATTAAACTAATATGAACTTTTTTCCAGAGACATTTTATGAAAGGTTTCCAAATTTGATACTTCTAGTGCAAGCCGTTTAGCCGCTATCTGAGATCAAAGTTGGGCCTCAAAAGCCCCTTCCGTCTGAAATGGGTTTAAAAATCGGGTATTTCTTTTTGTCTTATTTTCTTCACCAAAAAATAGAAAAAGTTCAAAATGTATGATGTTTGTATGTGATGTGGACACAGAGGTTCCCACATCAGTTTGCAAAACAATTGAGCTGGTAGCATGTTGATAATTTCAAAAAATTAGCAAAAACTGTTCTGGGGTCCGCGCGGACCATTTCAAGACCCCCAGCGAAGTTGGCGTCGTCCGCCTTAGCAACACATGGATACCACCTTTGACAGGGAATTTTTCAGATTTTCCCTATTGTTTCATAAGTGCCCCGTCTCCGCCTAGTGTGAAAACTTTTCAGGGGGGAAGCCGCAAGTCCAGGTGAGGTGATACCTGGCACCCTGTGGACTGTGAATGGTGTTCAGACATGGCTGTCTGGAACACAAATGCTGTATGTGTATTGCAGTGATTCTCCAAATCCCGTGTCAAGAAAATAATTTCTAACTTGATTCACAACCAAGGAATAACGTAAAGTTTGGTAGATCCACTTTTTTCAATCACACGCCGGAAGGGTTGTGGAGATTTTTTTTAATATCTAAACTAACTCAAGGCCATTGTTACAGAATAGTGTTGTCAAACTTCTACTAGATTACAAAAACTTACTTTCGCAAATCAGGCAGAAGTGTACCGGACGTAAATGTTATAACGCTTATAATAATTTAATTCAAATGTAACAGTTTTCGGACCAAAGCTCTGTCAATCAGGTATAAATGATTTTTCACAGGACGGCTTGAAAAGCCATACTATTGTGTAAAAAAAAACAAGCTAGGGAGACAATCTCAAATTGATACCACTCCTGTTTTTGTTGTTCTTAAAATTAATGTACAGTGCTAATCTGGATTATGAATCTTACTAAGGTGAAACATTGCGTAATGTATGTTCAGTCTGTTATTTGGAGCCTAGTGCTTTAAAAACTTTCTTATGCAAACTCAAAAGGATGTTCATTGTTTGTAAACCAAAGCCAAGCTGTCTGGCACATTTTATACCAGGTAGTGCCAGGTAGAGGTGTGAACAAGTCGTGAACTGCCTATTGTTTCCTCTGGTAGTCTGCTCCCCTGCTATCAAGGTGCTATGTAAACAAGTTGATTAGCTGCATTGTTCACTAATCCCAACAAAGTGATCAGATTTCTTGTGTAGTGAAGGCAAAAGTTACATTTTTGACATCTTAAGTTGTGGCCCTCATTTTGTGCTCTTTTGGGTAAAAAATACCTCTTTGGAAAGTATGCAAAATTTACAAAAAGATAGTAGTGTGGCCTTTGTGATAAAGGTTTGCAGTATTGAGCTATGTGTTCATGAATATCCCAATCCTGTCATCTTTGTCAAAATTTGGAATATATTATTAATAGAAATCTTTGTTACTATAATAGTTGTACCAGAGGCCATACTGCAGTGTTGTAGAGTTATCACTGCTGAATGTATAGATTCCAAATTTGTCTACGAAAAGTGCACTTTAAGGCCCACAGGGTGTCTAAAGGTGACAACATTTAGAAGTGCTTATTACATTAATATTGAATTAACTTGATATCTACATAGCTCTATACGAAACTGATCGCACTGCAGAGCTCCAAATATGATTTGGTGAGATTTTTATTTGTGACAGAGTTCTGGCTGTAGAGCCCAATAGTCACATTAAATTAACTTGATATCCACAGAGCTCTGTACTATACTGAACCCGTGACGCCAACCAATGAATTGAATTGTTTTGTACTCAGAGCTTCCTTCACAGAAGTCTAACCACAAATCAGCCGTGAGTTATCTTGTTATGTACGCAGAGGCGGGGACTGCTCGCGTGTGGGGGCATTGGGACACGAAAAGTTGTATGTGTGTGGTCAAAATATGAATAAACGACACTTTACTTTATGCCCTATTGTACGGAGGCACAAAATATCTTGATCTACTAAATGGCCCTTTAATGTATTTTAGACAAGTCAGATTTTGATTAAACAGACGGCGGAATCAAGGGGTTGTCCCCAATATGTAGGAGAGAACCGTTGTCGGATGAATGGGAGGGAAGTAAGATCATTTACAAGATGTTATTTATGTGGACAAGGAATATTTTTAGAATTTGTGGCTCAAGTTCTATCGATGTGAAAAGTATGAACCCAGTCAGCTTATAATATGCTATGTCTTTACAATATACAGATTTGGTCCCTTCGCAAACGCGCTCCTAATGCTAATAAAGCGTGTTCGCTAAAATTGTGACGTTTCACTTTACTGGAAAGCCAGGATGATATGATCCTTTACATTTCATCTCACACTAATTATGCCAACAGTCTGCGTTGTTCCTGAAGTACGTTATACTTCTTATGAACTCATTGTAGTTGTTAATGTCTCCGCCGTATCGGTATTTCAAGTACTCTGCATTCCTTGTTTGGTTGTGGTGGATATCAACCCCTTTGCAAGCAGCCATCCGGAGCTTTCCCAATCCTTCCAGGTAAAATTCTGTGCCATAAAAACAAGTGTTACCTTTGTTGATAGACTAAGAATAAATCAGAACGTTTTTGCTCAACAAGAATTCAATGACCTTATACATTTGCCAAATGATGTAAGCCTTCAAGCATTTGCATCAATCACAAGTTGTCTCTAGTTTGAAAATTTCATAGTACGCTTGTGTAGAATTTTCACATATATGATACAAAAGAAGCCCTGGTTTGCGTGCTTTGTCTAGCTTTATCCCCCATTACTTACCAACATGACAAATACACCATTCCTGCAATTTGCAACTGTGGTATTAGAGCAGCCTTAATTTTTTTTGCAAATATGGTATTTATTAGCTTAATTAAAAGTGACACGGGCATTTTAAGTTCGACTAGGGTGGCTCTGCAAAATCTGCCAATAAAAAAAATTATGAGCCTAACATATGAACACGCAATTAATTAACGGTTATTTTTTTGCAGTAACAAGTTGGTCACCTTAGTTGTAAGATAGCAGTCAGGAAATCCGGGAACTTTGCCATAATTCTGGTCTGTCTTGTATAAGATGCAAGCGCCATCATCATGCTTTTCTCCTGGAACCAGTACTACCTTGGTGACAACTAGGCTCTCTTTTCCAATTGAGCCGGAAACCTAAGAAAGTAAAAATAAACAGATTGACATGATCAAATTTCCAACTAGGTTCTAGCTGGACATGTGTATTTTTTATTTTGTTTTGTTGAAGTAATTACTTTTCGTTGCCACAAAATAGCCGGTTAGGCCCTGGGTTATAATTATTACGATCACACCATTACCAGTGCAGTGTGTCACCCCAGTGAAATATGCTATATTTGCTTAATTAATGAATTTCACTTAAAAATACGGTGATTTTTTCTCCTTCAGGCAATTTTGCTGATAATTTCCCATAGATAGATCTATTTGCTAAACGAATCCAATTGTGATCGCTTAATGGTCGCACAATGGTTAAAGTGGAAGGAGTTTGCTTTGTGACCGGTTCAGCTACTGTGTTTGCTAATTCAAACTTAACGACTACCGCGTAAACGTTGCGAACATTAAATGACACTTGAAAATGTGTCGTTCTTACGTCGCCTAAATTTCGTGTTCTAACATGATTTATCCTTTGATAGATTACAGTTTGGATTCTTTTCAACTTATATACATTACTGTCTGTTTTGTATATTTTTCATATATATTTTTGACTTTGATATTTATATTCTGTTGTCTTGTTTTAGTACGCAAAGAGCAACCTGAAAATGTGCGTGAGTAGTTGTTTTGCACTCCCTTTCACCATGTTAAAAATTTAAATAAACAAATAAGCAAAAGTCACGCCGCTACCTTAGAGATCTTTAAGCGCTCACTTAGCAAAGGCTGGGAGATCTGGCTAATTTTGGCGACTTGATCGTTTGTCACAAATGTCAAATATGAAGGTGTCATATGAAGGTGGGCAGAGGTTCAGGCGTATGGTTGCTGTAATGTTAGAGGCAAAATTTACAAATCTTACCAAGTCCAAGTTGCTGTTGTCGAGGACTTCCACCATTACCTCTAGTTTTGTTTCTTCATAAAAGACGAAGTCATCATCCAGCCACAACAGGTAAGGTGTGGTCACCTGGGAAACTGCCAAGTTTTTACCACCAAACCAGCCCTGTATACAAAATCAATTACATTGATTGTACGAACAGACAACACTTAATTCCCATATATCTAAATACTGTTGAAAAAAGTCAGTGCATGGCCGTAGTCTTGCCGGCGTACCTGCCATCATTTTACACGGATATAGTTTAGGGGTAATTCACTAAATTTTAAGATATTTAACATATACTAGTATGAGAAAATACTGAAGGCCACTAAAAGCAGCATTTTATATGTATGGGTAAATATTTATATTTGCAGTTTTTAAAATGCCTTGGGAATTTAAAGTCAAGTTATTACATGTTCAGATACTTACCGATGCAAAAGGCATGACATAATGATCTACATGTTCAGACTGTAGGTCCTCGATAGGTCTGCTGTCATCTGCTACAACTATCCGCATCTTGGGGTAGTATTTTTGGATGCTGTGAAGGAGAAGTCTAACTGACAAATACCTCAGGAAGGTCTTTGTGATAATTGTAACCTTGTCATTTATGTCATTTGCTGAAAAAAGACAAACAAATGCTCTATTAGAGTTGAGGGTGTAATGAGCGGTGATCTATGGGCTGAATATTCAATAATCATCTGGTGTAATTTTGGAGCGACAAAACTAAAAAAAACTGAAGTCAATTTTCGGTTCTTGTGATTAAGTATGTTGCGTCACTGACATATATTAGACTAAAATGTTATGTTGCTGACGATATACTGATGCTTGTTTTGTATCGTATTTTGTACGCAAGCAATCAAGAAATGTGTCTCTAAGCTGTTTGACGAAATGTGCTAAGACAGTCGATTTTTTCCGCCCTAAATTTATAGGGTGCTTCGCCATTAAGGATGCCTTTAAGGATTTGTGAATTGTCATTTTGAAGTAAGCACCATACCGATGTTTGGTGCGTTTCTCAGGATAACACATCAGCGTGTCTATCACTTATTACGAAGCATTTTCAGTTCGTACCTGGTCCTGGTTTGTAAAGAATTGGTGGCTTCCTTACACGAACCATGACAGGGATAATCGCTTCATGCTGAAGATAAACAAAGTGCACTAGAAAACAAAATATTACGTTTCCCATTAAACTTTGTACACTTTTAAAATGAAATTTAGCATGGATATCCAGGTACATGTACATCAAATGTGTCCATTGTATATTCTCGTAATACATAGTCTGGTATATATTAGTAATATCTGCTGTTAATACTTTTAAAACCAGAAGTCGAGAGGTCAACCCACTCATATGTTAATAACTTTAAACAATTTAGAGACATTTTACACAAAGTAATTCCTGGCATCATGACATATACATTGTTTGGAAATAGTCTGTTATAGCATATTGCCTTCGACAAGAAGGCTCTGAAATCGTTTTGGCACTGTATGGCAGATTATGCACGATACATTTTGAAGGCATGGTCCGAGGTTTACGATTTTTGGTGGGCAGGTTGTCCTAGTGATGGGCATTGCCAAGGCCAAAAATGGACTTCGTGGGGGGTTCTTATATGACTAAGGCTGACTTTTTGTGTTTGCGTTTTTTGTTGTACTCCAGATAACTCGGGAATCCTTAAATGATTTGTCTATGATTTTTAGTTGGCAAGTTACCGTTGAGAATACGAAGGTCAAGTTCGGAAATGGGCCTCGTTGGGGGTTCCCACGTCATTAAATTAGACCTTTTGTGTTGGTCGTTATTGTTGTTAGCAGGATAATTCGTGAAGTCGCAAATGGATGTTCACAATTTTTTGTGAGCAAGTTACCGTTGACGATAGGAAGATCAAGTTCAGAAAAGGTCGTCGTGGGAGGTCCGTACGTTACTGTAGTGGGCTTTTGGTGATTGAACATTTTAAGGGCAGGCGAAGTCTTGGTCTGGTTTTATATCTAGGTTAAAACAACAAGTTACAGACAGGAAACTGTCAACAGTGGCTTTCTTCCAAAAACATTTTCTTTAAACATTCCCCAGCAGGGGCGTGCTTAACAATCGCTAAATTAAGAGCACTGTGGCCCCCAGTGTAAACATCTGGAATGTGTTTTAAGGCGACCCTTAAAACTTATAACGCCTATAAATCCCAAACCAAAGATGATAAACGGTTTGCGGCCCTTCGATACTGAGGCCATTGCCTTTAAAACGATACCAAACTTGATCTTCTGGTACCTTCAGTCTGCTACCTTAAGGCGGCCCTTAAAACTTTAAACGCTTATAAATACCAAACCATCATTGAAAAATGCAAACGGTTTGCAGAACTTTAATACTTGGACCATTACCTTTCAAACGACACCAAACTTAACCTTCTGGTACCTTCGGTTGCCCTAACCCTAACCCTACCTTAAGGCAGCCCTTAAAACTTCAAACGCTTATAAATCCCCCCAAAAATATGATAAATTAAAACGGTTTGCGGACGTTTAATACTTGGGCTATTACCTTTCAAACGACACCAAACTTGACATTCTGGTACCGTCGGTAGCCCTAACCCTAAACCTACCTTAAGGAGGCCCTTAAAACTTCAAACGCTTATAAATCCCAAACCAAATATGACAAATGGAAACGGTTTGCGGAAGTTTAATACTTGGGCCATTACCTTTCAAATGACACCAAACTTGACCTTCTGGTACCTTTGGTTGCCCTAACCCTAACCCTACCTTAGGCGGCCCTTAAAGCTTCAAACGCTTATAAATCCCAAACCAATGATGATAAATGCAAACGGTTTGCGGACCTTTAATCATTGGGTCAATTCCTTCCGAACGACACCAAAGTTGACCTTCTGGTGCCTTCGGTTGCCCTAACCCTAACCCTACCTTAAGGAGGCCCTTAAAATTTTAAACGCTTATAAATCCAAAACCAAATATGATAAATGGAAACGGTTTGCGGACCTTTAATACTAAGACCATTACCTTTCAAACGAAACCAAACTTAACTTTCTGTTACCTTCGGTTGCCCTAACCCTAACCCTATCTTAAGGCAGCCCTTAAAATTTCAAACGGTTATAAATCCCAAACCAAAGCTGATAATGGCAAACGGTTTGCGGACCTTTAATAATTGGGTCAATTCTTTTCAAACGACACCAAAGTTAACCTTCTGGTACCTTCGGTTGCCCCAGCCCTAACCCTACCTTAAGAAGGCCCTTAAAACTTCAAACGCTTACAAATCCCAAACCAAAGCTGATAATGGCAAACGGTTTGCGGACCTTTAAAAATTGGGTCAATTTCTTTCAAACGACACCAAAGTTAACCTTCTGTTACCTTTGGTTGCCCCAGCCCTAACCCTACCTTAAGGAGGTCCTTAAAATTTCAAACGCTTATAAATCCTAAACCAAAGCTAATAATGCAAACGGTTTGCGGACCTTTCATACTGAGACCATTACCTTTCAAACGACACCAAATTTTACCTTCTGGTACCTTCGGTTGCCCTAACCCTAACCCTACCTTAAGGTGGTCCTTAAAACTTCAAACGCTTATAAATCCTAAACTAAATATGATAAATTGAAACGGTTTGCGACCTTTAATCATTGGGTCAATACCTTTGAAACGGCACCAAAGTTGACCTTCTGTTACCTTCGGTTGCCCTTACCCTACCCCTACCTTAAGGCATCCCTTAAAACTTCAAACGCTTATAAATCCTAAACCATTGATGATAAATGCAAACGGTTTGCAGACCTTTAATACTTAGACCATTACCTTTCAAACGACACCAAACGTGACCTTCTGGTACCTTCGTTTGCCCTAACCCTACCTCAAGGCGGCCCTTAATACTTGAAACGCTTATAAATCCTAAACCATTGATGATAAATGAAAACGGTTTGCAGACCTTTAATACTTAGACCATTACCTTTCAAACGACACCAAACGTGACCTTCTCGTTCCTTCGGTTGCCCTAACACTAACCCTACCTTAAGGAGGCCCCTAAAATTTCAAACGCTTATAAATCCTAAACCAAAGCTGATAAATAGAAACGGTTTGTGATCCTATAATACTTGGGCCATTACCTTTCAAACGACACCAAACTTGACCTTCTGGTATCTTCGTTTGCCCTAACCCTAACACTACCTTAAGGCGGCCATTAAAACTTTAAACGGTTATAAATCCCAAACCAAAGATGATTAATGGAAACGGTTTGCGGGCCTTTAATACTTGGGTCATTACCTTTCAAACGACACCAAACTTGATCTTCTGGTACCTTTGGTTGCCCTAACCCTAACCCTACCTTAAGGCGGTCCTTAAAATTTCAAACCCTTTTAAATGTAATACCAAAAATGATCAGTGTAAACGGTTTGCGGTCCTATAATACTGAGACCATTACCTTTCAAATGACACCAAACTTGACCTTCTGGTACCTTCGGTTGCCCTAACCCTAACCCTACTTTAAGGCAGCCCTTAAAACTTCAAACGCTAAAAGATCTCAAACCAAAGATGATAAATTGAAACGGTTTGCGGACCATTAATACTGAGACCATAACCTCTCAAACGACACCATACTTAACCTTCTGGTACGTTCGGTTGCCCTAACCCCTTACCCTAACCTTACCCTAATTCGGGAACAAAGTTGTTATACTGTACGCAATGACCAGGTCCAGGCACCATGGATCACTGGAAAAATAGTAGAAAATGGTCAAAGTAAAGGGAATAGTATGCCGCTAAAGGGAGTTAGCCCGCTAGAGATAAAATTTGCGACTCACGGGAGGAACCCATTTATCTTACATACCACATACCATCACAACATTTGGCCATTTTATAGTGCAATTGTTTTCAACGTATATTGGACATTGCACGCTTCAACAACGCTGGCTGTATAGAATAATAATTTAGTTGAAGGAGTTTGTGCCGTTTTCAAGTTTGGATCACCGCGAATCGGAGGGAGGAAAACAACCTTTCGCGGCCAAACTCCCCAGGCCAATTCTCTCTCCTTTTTTGCCGAATTCTACCATCCGTATTTTCGTAGAAATACATGGTACAGGCTTGGGAAATAGCATGTTGCTTCGTTCACAAAAGGACTCTCCGGCCACTATAACTACGATAATCATCTTCAAAAAACCTACACAATACACACACACAACACGCACCAAAAGAATACCACACTGTCGAAGGCTTTAGACCTACGAACTCCAGTTAAATTTAAAACCATCAAGCTTCATGACTTTTCGTTCCTTATACTTGGTAACAATTTTTTGTGGCCATGGCAACTGGTTCCTCACTGGCTTTTTGCCAAACTTTTTGTCTCAACAATATGCTTTTACGAGTTTTATGTCAAGTTAAACTTGCTTTCTAAGGTCAAATGCATATAATGTAAATTCATGTAATTTCTCAATAAAAAGTCTAAAGATTAATGCTACTTTCATTAAGTCATTGGTCAAACTTCAAGATGGCAGACCTTTTTCAGGTATAGGGCTGAGGTCAGTAATAGGCATGGCGCAGAGGGCCCAGGTTTAGATGTCAGTGGAACGTAGAACGTAAAGAGGCCTTTTTTGTGGGGAATGGTGTTGTTTTGGACTTGGATGTTATAGATAAGGGTTTTAGTTTTTGTTGTTGTCGTTGGTATTGAAAAAACAGACCTGCAGCCATGTTTGTGTTGTTTGGGTCGCTGAAGAAGATATAGGTTTACATGCAGTCATCAGCTGTCCAGAGGGCTTGAGGGGGGGGGTCAATGTTCGGGTAAAATTATCGCATGGTTCCAAGGCGTTGGATTTCTTTTCATTTTTGGTAAATGGAGACTTGGAGGTTGGACTTCATTACCAATATGTGATTTCAAGGTCTAAAAGGTAAAACTCAGATAAATGGCAAAAAAAATTGACCAAGTTCTTTTGACATAATTCCGGTATCTTGACATGGGAAAGCCCTATACTGGGCTTGCCCTTTATACAGGTAAAATTCCATTACTACTTCAAATTTCTTTTTTCCAAAAAAAGAACAAGGTTTAAAATGAACGTATTTAGTGTATTTTTTGGCTTATAGTGTCTTTAGTATATTTTTAGGCTTTATGTTGAAAAAAAAACTTTTTCAAAATTTACATTATCAATAATATAAAATCACATTATTGACGTCATAATAAGGTCATATTACGTGAAAACAATATTGAATTATTTGTATTATTTATTTGGCACACCATCACCAAACATTTAATGGCCATATGATATAACAATCATGACGGGGGGGGGGGGCAGAATGACCCCCCACGGTCCCAGCCCCACGCACACCCACCCACCCCCCAAAAAGCCCGGTTTAGATAGGGTTAATGTTGTTGTGATGTTAACATTAATTCACATATTATACTTACCATAATCCCTGGCGTCTATGTCAAACACGGTGTTAACGTACACCACAAACTCCAGCTGCCGGTTGAGATGGGCCAGAGACCTGCTGCTCATGGTCAGTAAAGTAGTACCCAGGCCTTCAACGTTAACCCCAGGCACTGTCGCACGGATGTTAAGTACCCCCAATTTACATGACGAAAGTTGTACCTTGATAACGTAAATAGAGACAACTATGATCATTAAAAACTGAATGTGTTGTCAAACGTATATGGACTACAAAGTTGGATAATATTTTTCAGAAATTGTCGTGTTTCTTCTCGTAACTCGTGACTATCCTACATGAACAGGAAAACATCAAATTATTGGCATAACCATCGGAAGTAGGTTCACAAGAACTGTATGAGCTGTGTTAGCAAATCCACCTGTCAATTTAATAATATATAAATCCGACGTTAGGGGGTTGCGGATCTACCTTGTAGTCTTCAAGTAGAATGTTATCCACAACTTTAAGACCTGTGTAAGGATAATTTGAAATAAAAATATAGATTCAAAGATGAGTTATACATTATTTGCATTAATTGCTCATTACTGCATTTTTTTTAAAAAAAGTAATGCATTATAGCAAAGCATTTTCTATTCGTGATGCGTATCTTCCTGATAACTTGTCAAATTATTTGAAATCATTTTAATGCACATTCAAAGAACTAACGGTTTGATTTTGGTATCATTTGTTAATAACATGTTTGTAACATTTAAACCACTGTATGAGATCAAAACGTACCAAGGCGTTTATAAGTATGTATCATTTTAAAATTCCTTCTGTGAGTTTAGTTGTATATATGCCGTATAACTTCCCATATGTTTCTACTAAACTAGGCTCATTGTTGATTGAGCTACATGTGTATCCTACAAAGTTTATGCGTGGTCCAGTAAGGCCAAAACTGTGAGTCTTTTGTTGCCCTTAATATTTCTTGTAGGTAATATATTTGCTCTAGTTTTATGTTGTAATTTGAATGACCTCAACATGTTAAATCAGGAAACTCTAAGGTTGTTACCTTTGACGTTGTTGCCTGTGGAAATTCAAAACTTATTATGTCAAACTGTCCCTTACAGAATTATACATACCAACAGAAACCTGCATTCGTGCAAAACATTATAAGACCGGTTTGACCCCATACGATAAGATTTGTCGCTAAAAACGTACGGTGAGTCAAAAAGCAAGCGACTGCATAAAAATGTATTTGTTAGAAATTTTCTTTCAGCCTGCCCAACGTCTAAGTAGTTTTTTTTCTTGTTTGTATCTGACTGAAAAAAATACAGGCAATCTTTTCGACAGCCTCGGCCTAGGTCGGGGTTGCAGAGTCCAGGAAGCAGCTAAATGCAGTTTTTAATTGTAAGAGACTGTGTTTTTAAATACTGTAGATACATTTTAAATGATAAATGTTCTTTACGTTGTATGGCCGATATTAATATAACACATTCCCTATAAGTTGTTTGGGAACGTGCGTATTTAATACATCTATTGAATCTTTGTCATAATGTAACTAAAAATCCATATGAAAAGAAAACCTTCAAAATAGACATTTAGATTACCTGGAATATTTTCCCATTCTTCTGGGGCAACGACCATTCCTTGTGCTGGATAACTGAGAGGAACGGATCCGTTCACGATCAACAAGATCTCTTTGGAAGACTCCTTTCTATCAAAATCAATGATATCAATAGGTGATTTAATTATAAGGAGCCTACGGTGTTCAATATGAAGGACACAGTGACTATGACCAATATAGCAGGAAATGTGAGTTCCACAACATCATATCTTCAAATTACAATTTACGACTGTCGAATTAAGAATTCAACTTTTGACTGAGTTGGCACATTCTTTCTTCGTTTTAAATGGATTATCCACCCAATAGCAGCCATATATAAACAAAAAAGGCAATTTCCATATATGTAATAGGATAAAGGTCTTGATTTAAATAAGTTATGTAAAATGATGTTTGCATTAAGTTTAAATGTAAGCTATCAGCATATACCATTATTAGCCTATAGCTTTTTCACACCATTTCTTTTAATTGTGTGAATTTCCCTTAACTATACGCTTGTCACAAATTCAAATATTCTTTTTTTATAAAATGAAGTAGATTTAAAGAACCACACCAAACAATAATAAGTACAACGAATAATTATTCTGTACAATGATTTTCTATAACTTACTGATTCTCAGGAAGACAGCCTTCAACATGTATATATCCCATTACCCTGCAAACCTGATATACAGACATACAAACAGACAGGCTAAAAAAAGTCAGGTGCATTAGAAATGCCAATATGAATTTAGTAGGTTATAAGGAAAGATAAGACATTATGAAACAGTGTGAACCTGTCTTTGAATTTTTGTAGTTCTGCTTTCCTTTGGCCTTCTACTTTCTTCAGCTCATTGAACTCAAAAGCCTGGAAGTTTAAGATAGTTGCCCCTTCATCGGAACAGTTGCAGCTCATCCTTTTGCTACTAAAAAAACAATAACACAATTCTATCTATGCGTAAAGTTGCTATGGTATAATTTACCTTTATTATGAAGAATTGAAATTGTTCTCCATCTCAAAATTTGACTCAGCGGAATTTTTGACTGAATCACTCAGTCTTCTTCAGGTATCTGACCCAAATTCTGTGGACACGTGATTTTTCCCACGTGTGACCTCAGCAAAGGGTCCAAGGCTGTCTAAAGTCGATAGCGCCCCCCGTCCCGGTTGAGCGATGGTTGAAGTGCCCTGATGTATATGGCCTCTTTTATCTTCGCTGCACACGGAGTGAGTACCTGTTTCAGACCTCAAGACAGCTCATTGTGGCACCTTAGGACAAAACTCAAGAAGACAAATGTGGGGTTATCTATCACATAAGATTTGCCAGGTAAACACTAAAAGAGGCCCCTGTCGGGAAACTTACATCGGGGAAACTGAGCGCTCACTAAAAACCAGGTTTTTACAACATAGACGACCCAGTTCGGTTGCATCTGAGGTGTCACAGCACATCCACATAGAATCACCGGGACACACAGTGGATCTGGAGGGGGTCAGAATCTTGGATACCGATCAGGATTACTTCAAGAGAGGCATTTAAACGCTAGCACAAACTTTCAGAAGTGACCTCTGACCTCTATCACCAGCTGATGATAGCATGAAAACTCAGGACTTCTTTTCTGGCCTAGACACACAAAACATGGCACGAACTCCATTTTTTTACATAATCAAATGCAAATAACCCTTACCTATAACATCCAGCTCCAAAAAAGCAACAGATCCCAACAGTAAGAAATTTTACACTGTTTTTGTACATGAAAAAATGCCCTCTGGGCATGCGCGTAATCCTGGCATTTGCCCTAGCTGAGGAAGACTGAGTGATTCAGTCGAAAATTCCGGAGAGTCAAATTTTGAGTTGGAGAACAGTTTAAATTCTTCATAATGTAATTTACCAACTTTCATGCTAATTTACCGTTATGGTAGATTTTAGATGTAGTACGAATAAAATATATCGTTTTCCCATCTTTTTTCGTCTCTTCCTTTTCCTGTAATTTTTATCCTGAAATTTGACATTAATGTAGAGTGGGCAAATGTCTTTAGACGGGAATCAAGGGGGACTAGTCGACTGAAGACAACATACATACATAATTGTGTGAATTGCATTAATGGTATAGCAATATAACGACTATAACATTTAAAAAGTGGACTTACCTAAGGAAGCCATCCCTTAGAGTAAATGGAATGTCTGGTGATCTAATGATGTTCTTTTTGTATGGGGGCATGACACCGCTGTTTCCTGCAATGCCTAGTAAAGAATACCCTATTGTGCCCAATGTTACAAATCCACAACAAAACCCTGTTAGGAATAGGAACAGTAGCTTATTTTTCTCAGCCATCAAGCACGCCCTGTAAAGTAAAGGAGTATTTAGATTAGAGGGGTAATCATCTATAATCAAGAATCAAGGCAACGTATCATCTCTTTTGTTGCTTGCGCTCACGCATCAAGTTCGGAATATTCAAACAATATCATATATGGTCTTGATGTGCTTGTATCTTCTGTATCTGTATAGCCGGTATAACCGCCCTTTGGGGTAACACACAATCTTGTTGCCACAGTAGATGTATAGTAACATGTTTATCAAATTTAACAAAAATTTTACATGTCTACGCAACATTGTTTAGAATTAGCCACATCAATCCCTGATTATTATTTGACAATTAGGTATAAGATCGTATATAGTGAACCTTTAGATTTCATTTTTACCCTTTATCACCTTACCCGTATTAAAGATACCGTTTACAGTCTTTTTATCCATAACAGTCTTTTTATCCCAAAAAAAGCAGGTATGTCCCAGTCCATTTTATGTGTTATGAGTCTATTTCTTTATTGTGCGTTAAATTCACTTTTTTAACCCTCTCCAGTCCGGGGGAGGGGCCTAAAAGTGCCCGCACGAACTTTAACCCTGTCTAGACTGGGGGGGGGGCTTAAGTGCCCGCACCAAATTTGATGTTGGATTGCGTCCGAACCGCTTGCGCTAGGGCAATCAAACTCGCTGTTTTTTCTAAAATATTCTTGGCAACGATTTCATAGCAGTAAAATGTGTTACTACTTTTCCGTATTGGCAAGGCAAAGGTTTCTGTCAGGCATTTTTTTAACTCAGTAATTTTAACAATAAACGTCTGAGGCTTCTATTATTATTATTCATTCTTTATTTTAGGTAAAAAAACATAAAAACACAGTACATCTTTAAAATAATACAATACTCTTGAGACATACAAATAATACAGAAAAAAACTACATGCATATTAAATGGTAAGTCTTTCGGAAAAAGGAGTTCCTGTAAGGCTTATATTAGTAAACGAATGATGATTGCGTTATGGGAGGAAAGTAATCGTTATTACGCAAGCTTTCTAATATTAACCCTATCTAGACTGGGCTTTTTTATCTTGGGACTGCCCGAGTCCAACACACATTGAACAGCTTGCGCTAGAAAAAAGCCAAAAAAACCAAATGGAATACTAGCAAGGCCAACATTTTCTTCAGAGCAAATGTAATATTTCGCTCCATCTCCCTTCCCAAACAAAAATAGAAGATTCTCAATAAATAAAATCATTCTCCAATTGTACAAGGACAAGCTTTTTTGAATCTCGACAGCTTTATTTACAAAAATGGCACTTGGCAATTGTCTCCCAATTTTTTTTTTCCAAAGATACAAGGACAATCACTTTAAACCTGGACAGCTTTACTTAAAACTTGTCTCAAACTTATAAGTTACAATGACGAGGTTGTGACTACTACTAACGGTAGCAAAATTTAAAGGTCTGAGAAAAATGGACATGTTCACGGAACTATATATTCACGGTGGTGACAGATGCAGGAAACAGAAAGTCCAGGAACTATTTATTAACTGTAATGATAAGTTCACGATACAGAGGTGACCGTGAAAACCTTAAACATAAAGATACGGTGAAAAATATCAGGAATTACAATAATCAATTTACGGATTATGTTTGCTTAGTTTCCAGATGTTTTGTATGATTGTCGAAAACTTAGTTTGGAAATGAACGAAAACCGATGCACGCACAGATGCCATCCATATAATCAAATCAACATGGCCTTATTTATAATCACATAAACTATGAAACCATACATTTAATAAGATATATATGTATAATATAATTTTCATAACCATTATTTTTAAAATCATGCTTGTGAGCTAATTGCATGACTTGTACAGAGTGAAAGAAAGTAAAGTAAAGAGGTAGAATTTCTGTACTAGCTATAATAGTACTTCATATGATTCGTCCTCCTCATCATCATTCAATGTTTTCTTTCTCTTAATGCTAGTGACTGGTAATACCTCTGTAGATTCTTCACCCTGGCAGAGTGCCGTACTACTTCTACTTCTCTCTTGACAGCTTCATACTTTTGTGACAACATCAAAGTGATTTGGGTTTGTATGTTAGAAAAATACAAAAGAATAACATTCTAAGTTATTGACATTTATGAGTAAGGAAAATAAGTTTGTGAATGTTCAAAGCAAAACAACGGATATTAAAAAGAAAATGTTAAAATTAAATGTTAAAATGGTTAAATTGGTAGAAATGTAAAAAAAAAATTAAAAGTATTAAAATTGTTAATAATGTTAAAATTGTAAAAAGATGTTTAAAAAAGTATCTGTGAGTGGGGTACGTTTGCTTCCTTGATTTTTATGCACAAATTACGATAGTAGTGATCCAACTTGTTGCATCAGCATGGTCTTCGATAAATTATACATCTAATGTGCATCATACTGATCACAGTGTGCATAATATTTTTATAAAAGTAGTGAAAAATTACAAGAGGGAACCTACAGAAGTTAAGTGAATGGAAAGATCAAACATAGCGGCGGCCTTTGCTGTTTACGCACGTTCGCAGTCTTGCCGCTCGCCTTGTAGACGGTGGTCCAGTGATGCCGATTCTGTCCATGACCCTACCGATAGCATCGAAGTTGTGCTTTGAAAATGCCAAAAATTGCGAGAGCCGGCCCTGGCTGGTCAGTGCGCTCAGGCCCGGAAACTCGCGCGGAGCGGTACGCACGGAATCAGAACCAAGTTGTCTGCGTATCGACACATGGTGGCGGCGTTGATGAAATTTAAAAATCACTGATTCGTGAAGTCAAATCCCTCGCGAACTTTCAAATTGGCCGATACCGCGAAAAAAGTCCTCCCGAACATAAATTTACAGTAATCATGTCAATCATATGTACATTATTCAATATATGAATGTATATGACATAGTTTTATAGTTCATCTATATTTAGTTATATAGTTATGTATAGTTCCTTTTTCTTTGCAATTAGAGCTTCAAAATGTATCAAATCTCATCATTGGTAGTATTTGCATACCTGCAATAAGATTGTGAGATAAGATTGATGTTAATTTTTGTAAGTAAAGTTGTCGAGATTCAAAGGTCTTGTTCTTGCATCTTTGTTCTCAATTACATGGCGTATATAATACATTTATATGAGAATCTTCCATTTTTGCACTGGGGTAAGTTTGGAACAGTATACTTTTGTGTAGGAGGGAGAGTGGGGACTGAAATATGCTGTATTTGCTCCCAAGCAAATGTCGGCCCCTTAGTTACTTCACCATTCTCTGAAAATTTGGGGGCCGTACAATAAGTGGTTGTTGAGTTACAGGGGGCGGGCCTCAAAAGACCACCCCGCCCCACACAGTCCCAGTCCCAGCATACCCAAAAAAAACGGTCTAAATAGGTTAAGAAGGAGTGATATCGTGAGCACTAGGCAGAGAACATAGTTAGCATTAGGGGGCCAAAAATTAGCATTGAGGAGAAGGGACATTGTTGTTGTAAGGGCCTAGGAAACATTGACGACCAGTAACAAGTGTCCATAGGTGACAATTCTCCGTGAAGTTTTATATTTTGCAGATTGAGAACAGTAATAGTATATGTAAACAGTGTGTGATCACTTAACAACTGGTA